GAAGCAAAGTGGATATGTCCTTATTTTGTCTTTTGCTTGCAAGTGCGGCATATGAACAAAAGTATAGTAGAAGGTTTTAATGGAATCTCAGCTCATATTTCCTAGCAAATGCAATGGAGATCCAAACATGTTGAATTAGTTCTCTTCTTGTATTTTTAAACAAATATACTTTTCAAATTGATAAAGAGTGGTTTGCTGCTACAGGATCTAACAAATCATTACACAACTGTATTTCCTCTACAATTTCAAAGATTTCTATAAATTCTCTAAACAATTTTATTTAAAAGACTAATTTAAAATTCAAAACTAGATTTCATATTGAAGCAACATGGATACATGCACATGTCTAATAAACCTGAACATGCTTACAAAATACCAGTTTAAATTCAGAGAACTGCAATTCAAAGGTGTTATTGGCACCAAAACCGATACTGAATTCACAGCTTTGTGTTTCATCTGACACATAAAATATGAACATGGTGCCATTGATCAACCTGGTCATCAGATCATGGAAATATGCGCCTTCCATTGTCAGTAGGGATATGCTGTGATAAGTGAGTGCTTTAAGCAGAACAGATGCCTAGGAGTATAGGTTATATAATAAATGGAGCTCAAAGGCAGATCAATGAAGATAACTTGCCCTCAAACCTCTAATATACTTCTTGTTTGGAGCCAAAAAGAATTGCAGTCGAGTTGCTGGGAGAAAAGTAGACCAAGAACATAGTTTGTTTTTTAATAATAATAATAATAATAATTGACTGACATGAACAGAATGAAGGGTTTTTTAAAAGAGTAGGAAGTTACAGGCTTTAAGGAGAAAATGTATGGAATGAGGTAAATTGACATTAATGCATAGAATGACTTGAGAATGAACCTAAAGAAAATGGATTTGACATTCAGAAGCCCTATATTTTTTATATGCATTCCAACCACTGGAGGCAAACAAACCTCATTCAAAGTAGGTGTGAGTAGAAATAATTATTGTGTCAAGCACAAAGGGGTCGTACTTGTTCTGCTAAGAAGGTTTGGCAAGGGAGGAGAGAAAAATAATAGCTAGGGTAGAAAACCACACTTTAGCAATCGAAAATAAGTGTGAGTTTCTCTACTCCAGGACAGAAATGTGAATGAAAGATAAGGTCATGGATATAGGAAAGCTATTTGTATTAAAAGAACAATGTGAGGTAGGGGGGAAGCAGCTATATGTAGGAGGTCAGAAGAGAAACATTATTTGGACTCCCCCACAGCCAGGGAAAAGCATCATGGTGAAACCAGACTCAGCTATATGCCAAAAAATAAATGGCTGCAAGGTTCCTTCTTTACCTCTCTTCTTTCTGGGAGGAAAATTCAGCACCACTGCTGATTGCTTTTGTGAACATAGATTTGTGGATTTGCATTATTACCTCTATCCTGTAAACCATTTTGAAAACACTTTGACTGAAAACTGTGGTATAAGTCTTCAAAATAAATACAAAAAATGATGGCTCAAAATAAATGATGTAGCAGGTGGCCAATAGCAGATAAAGTGTTCTATTCCTTTAGCTGATATGGTCTAGCATCCTGTCTTAGACAACAGTAGCATTGGGCACTCAAGCTAATGCTAGCTTGACTATTCCTGGCCAGCAATCAAATGCCTCATATATGGTTATATATATATGTGCCGTCCCTCAAGACCAGGGCAAATGGAAGATGGACTTCTAGTGTTATATAATGCAGAAGGAAAAAAAGAAAATCAAAATATGCAAGAGTGATCCATCTCTCCTCCCCTCATTCACTATGAGAACTGTGCAAGCAGTTCTCATAGTGAATGACTTGGCCAAGGTGGTCCATGCCTTAGTTACATCCAGAATGGACTACTGTAATGTCTTTGAAGATGGCTCGAAAACTACAGTTAGTTCAAAAGCCGGATGCCAAATTACTAACTGGGGCTAGTTATAAGAAGCATACTATGCCCCTATTAAAGCAACTCCACTGGCTTCTGATAAGTTTCTGGGTCCAATTTAAAGTGAAGGTTCTCACCTTCTAAAGCCCTATATGCTTCAAGTCCAAACTATCTTCGAGACTGCATCTCCTTCTATGAACCAGCACAGTTGGTGGGGACGAGAGAAGGGGCCTTCTTGTTGGTGGCTTTCTGGCTCTGGAATGCCCTCCCTAGAGAGATTAGGTGAGCCCCCTCCAAAAAACCTTTCAATCTAGCTTAAAAACATTGTTTTTTTTAATGAGCCTTTGACCTTGAATAGACCTAAAAGGGTATATGTGAGGACTGATTATTCATTCCAGCACTTTAGTTTGTTAATTGATGACAGCCAGTATTACTATATTTTATAATTTTAACAATTTTATTATGTTATGTTATGTTATGTTATGTGCACTCGTTATGGTTGTTGCTATAATTTTATGTTGTTTTCATCTTATGTATTATTTATTTTATGCAGCATTCTGGAGTGCTTTTGTGAGCCGCCCAGAGTCCCTTCCAGGAGATAGTGGCGGGGTGTCTGTGTGTGTATGTATATATATATATATATATATAGAGAGAGAGAGAGAGAGAGAGAGAGAGAGAGAGGAAAATTCCCTCCTTCAGTCTTCAGATCACATCTTTTTGCAGCCTCAAATTGCCAAGTTAATGCAAAAGTATCAAATGCGGTCATTAATACAAGTTGACTCTTTCTAGAATGGGCAGCTGTTATCGTTTGGCGTGGAGGCAAATTGGGAGCCCAAAATCAGTCTGCTTCGTGGAAAAAGCTCAACTCAGTAAACTCACAAAGAGTGATAATTTTCAGAGAATTGTCTCATCTTGACTCAACTGTCAGTATAAGAGAAGAAGCACAGACATCTCAACCAATCAAAATAATAGAATATAATAACATAGCTCCAATACCTGGATATTTCAGTTAGAACTGTTATAATTACCATCGTTTCTTATAACCACTACTGAAAACATGTATGGAAAGAACCTGACCTTCAGTAGCCTCAGGCAACTTCCTGAGCTAAGTCTTCCAGTTTCAGAATAGACTGAAAGCCCCAAGGAGGAAAAGACAGAAGACATGTTCTACATGTTCACTGTTAACAAGAAGCATTATAATGTGTAACACAGGAATGGGGAACACTGCTGTCTAAATAGAAATATTTCATTCCTTTTGTTTGCTAGTAGAATGCTAGCACAAAAAGAGCTGTAGAGGTGAAAGTAGTGGGTCTCATCAGACCCACAGAAGGCTGAAAGGCATCATGGCCTTTGATTGGAAGCTGACAGAATCTGAAAGCTGTTTTTTTTCTCTTATAGCCATCAGAGAGCTGGAAGGGATCATTTAGTCCAACCACCTGACAACGCAGAAAAAAATTACTGCTGGCGAAGCTAGCCATCCAGCTTCCACCTAAAAACCTCTGAGGAAGAAGAGTCCACTGCCTTTCAAGGTGCATCATGCCATCAAAAAATTGTTTCTACAGTTTAGTTAAAGCTCCTTCCTTGACATCTGAATCCACTGGTTTGAGCCCATACTGTGAAGCAATGGAGACCAAATCAAGAAAATATTTAAGAATGTAGCTGTGTGTTGGATGTTGCAGCATTATACCAGATTTTAGCTTCTGGTGCCATATTCAATAGTACCAGTCGATATGGAATGATGGCCTAATTCACTACAGAAGTGTTTCTCAAGCTTCTTAATGTTGTGACCCCTTAAGATAGTTCCTCATTTTGTGGTGCTCCCCAACCATAACATATTTTTTGTTGCTACTTCATAATTGTGATTTTGCTACTGTTCTGAATTGTCATGTAAATATCCAATATATAGGATGTATTTTCATTCACTGGACTAAATTTGGCACAAATATCCAATACGCCCAAATTTGAATTTTGTCATTTGGGAGTTGTAGTTGCTGGGATTTATAGTTAACTTACAATCAAAGAGCATTCTGAACTTCACCAACGATAGAATGGAACCAAACTTGGCATACAGAACTCCAAAGACCAACAGAAAATACTGGAAGGTTTTGGTGGGCATTAACCTTGAGTTTTGGAGTTGTAGTTCACCTACATCCAGAGAGCACTGTGAACTCAAACAATGATGGATCTGGACCAAACTTGGCATGAATACTCAATATGCCCAAATGTGAACACTGGTGGAGTTTGGAGGAAATAGACCTTGACATTTGGGAATTGTAGTTCCTGAAATTTATAGTTCGCCTAAATAAAAGAGCATTCTGAACCCCACCGATGATAGTATTGGGCCAGACTTCCCAAACAGAACCCCCATGTCTTGAAGAGACTCTCTGGCACAAGGCTCCTTCCAACCTTGCACGCTCTCCCTCGCATGCACATGCACACTACACTGCCATGTGCCGAGCACACATGCTCTCCCCTCCCCACTTGGAGTCTGAGAAACAGCCCCCCCCCCCCCTTGGCTGAAAGACCAGTCAATCACAACAGAGGATGGCTTTTGGTGGGAGGATTCATCATCTGTTTCCAAAAAGGAAGAGAAGTACAGGTGGAGAGATCTTTAGCCTTCTCTGTGAAAGGGGTTCCTAAGACCATCAGAAATATATGCCAAAGCAACCACTCTGAAACCCCCTCATGACACCCCACCCCCGGGATCCCAACACCCAGATTGAGAAACACTGCACTACATGTTCATGTGTCCATAAAAGAGCAAGAACATACAATTGGAGGGAGGGGATGGGTGCTGTTTTTAAAGGAGCTAGCTCATTCTGCCATTTTGGGGCAACCATGACCCAATCACTGATTTCAAACAGGACATATCAACAAAGTAGTATGAACGAGAAAGAAGAGTGAGAATTTGTTCAGAAGTAAGCGCCATTGAGTTTCTGAGTAATTGTGTGCACCACCATAATCTAATCATATTTATTTTATTACATGCTAAATGGTAAATAAAGCAGTCATTTTAAAAGGAAATAAATCTAAAGAAGACTTTCTAACAGATATCTCCAACTATGACTCAATAAAGATTGCTTTTTATGTGTATAATGATACCTTATATGGGTAACATTACCTTTCTCTGTCTTTAATCACTTGTTCAGCCATTAATTTCTTAAATTCTGCCAAACGTAGTAGATCTTTTGCTTCCATCTCCTGCCACTGGCGTTGCTTTTCAGCCCAGTACTTTTTCACCTAAGGATTAAAAAAAAGTAAAGTTAACCAAAAAAAGGAGGGTAAGAGGGAAAGAGAGATTTTTTTTTCACTGAATGAAGGCTATTTTGGTTTCTATTGTATTTGCCCACAGCATATTGTCACGTAGCAATTTAACTGTCCATTTCACATTCTGAGAACGCAACAGGCTTAAAGAATAGGTAAACCTGACTGTACTTGCTGTAACACCCACTTTTTGCACCTCTTATATAAAAGAAAGCATCACGGCACAAATCAGAAAGAAAATACATTTTCAATCTAGGAACTTTTTTACACGTAGTCAGAAAAGACCTCTTTTTAAATATGTAACAGTAAATTCCAACAGAGGAGACACAAGACAAAATACAAGTGTGTGAATGAGAAAGACAAGGGAGTGAAATAAACACAGTAATGCTCAACTGGGTTTTAGATTTTCTCCTTAAACTACACATCCAGTAGAATAACTGAAAGCAGACGTCGCAGCAGGCGGATGAAGAAAACCGGGCAATATCTGGACACTCTGATCAAAGCTAGCAGCTAGGAAAGCAAACAGAACTCAAGTGTCAGAGCCATAATATGAGAAGGTACACAGAAATACTCTTGTGCATTTCAGAGCTGATAGTCTGGCTGTGAGGTTTGTGGAATGACATCCAGCAACTGTAGATATGTTTGTTCGGAGCAAAAACTAATTAACAGCACAAGCACTTCCTCTGTTGTGAGGGAAAAAGAACTAGCCCACAACAGAGATAAACCAAAGGTTAATTACAACTGATTCTTCCCTTGACTAAACTTGGGGGGGGGGGGGAGGGTATCTGTCCAATTTCCCCTCCACCCCAGGAAGCAAACAAGTAGCAGCCATACAAAGTTTATTCTCCCCTTTGTAGATTGTCACAGTCTCAATTAATTAAAAAAAAACAGGCTGTTGTGGTGATTATGGTAGATTATTATTAAATTTTATGCATGCTCTTTTCTCCCATAAGCAAAATGCAGCATAGGTTTGCTGTGATTTTTCTGGGCTATATGACCATGTTCCAGTAGTATTCTCTCCTGGCATTTTGCCCACATCTATGGCAGGCATCCTCAGACGTTGAGAGGTCTGTTGGAAACTAGGCAAGTGCAGTTTATAAATCTGTGAAATGTCAAGGGTGGGAGATGTTGCCATTAGCATTGAATGGTCTTGCAGCTTCAAAGCCTGGCTGCTTCCTGCCTGGGGAAATCCTTTGTTGGGAGGTATTAGCTGTCCCTGACTGATTCTTGTCTGGAATTCGCCTGGTTTTTATTTACTGTCCTGATTTTAGAGTTTTTTTTAATACTGGTAACCAGATTTTGTCCATTTTCATGGTTTCCCCCTTTCTATTGAAATTGTCCACATGCTTGTGGATTTCAATTGCTTCTCTGTGTAGTCTGATATGGTATTTGTTTAGAGTAGTCCAGGATTTCTGTGTTCTCAAATAATATGGTGTCCAGGTTGGTTCATCACCATAGCTCTTCTATGGCAGATTTCTCTGGTTGAATTAGTATGCAGTGCCTTTCATGTTCCTTGATTTGTGTTTACATGGCTCTCTTCTTTCCTCCTCTAGCTCACTACACTCCCATGGGATAGGTCAGGTCGGAAGAGAGTAACTGGCTCAAATTCACTCAATGAGTTTCATAGCTCAGTGGGAATTTGAATCTCACTATAAGACACATTATCCTTGTATTTCACTAAAGGCTGTATGAAATTATATGTTTTTAAATCACTTAAAATTGTATGAAGGCTCAGGTGCATCTGAAGACTTATTCACACATGTATGTACTTCATTTAGTAAGTGCATTAACTGATGGGATGAAATCAGTCAGCTCCATGCTACACTGAATTTATCTCTATGTGAATGTCATAAGGCTATATTCAAAATCAAACTGCCAGATTGTCAAATGTCTAAATTGCCTTTCTCCTCCTCCACCTCATCCCTGCAACCACCAAGCAGACATCACAAGGTTTCCCAGCTCTTCAGAACTTATTTCAGGGGTTCCTGGACAGTCTGGAGGAAAGAGGAAAATCTGTTTTACCAGTAGTGCTATTTCAGTATAAAATTCATACCTTCACACTTCCTACCCTGTGAGTGTGCGCACATGCGCGTGCATGCACCTGCCTTCAAGAGCTTGTCTACACTAAATCAAAAACCCAACATGAACCAGAACTTCTGGGGACTTCTTAACACAGGGTAAACCAGAGTAACTCCTCATTAAGTACAGTCAGGCACTTCAAGCAGAGCGTGACCATCAGACATGCTCCAATGTGAAGTGGTCTGCTTTCCTCACAGGCTGTCACCGCCATTCCCTTTTCCCTGCAATCATCAAACACAGAAATGGAGATGGATTGCAAACATCTCACCCCTGTCCCTGCAGCAGATGGCTCAGGAGAGCTACTGGCTATCTTTGGTCACATTTCCTGCTGACTCCCCTCTATCTCTGGCCAGCAACAGAAAGAGCTCTCTTGAGCTCTGTGGCCACCTGCTGCAGAGACTGATACAATGGGAAATATGAGAGTGAAGGTACAGCCAGACTGAACCAGTTTTGGCCCAGGTGGACTGGCTGGACTGTGCCCTAACACTGCTGCAGGTTGGAGGCCAAGCGTCCAAACACCTCTGTGGCATGGATTTTCTGGTAGGTTTAGATGAGCCCAAGTAAACTTATGACTCCATTAATTTCTCAGAGTCTTTTTTTTTTTTAGGTAAGAGACGGATTTTACCAGTTTCATCTCAACATGCCTCCTGGGAAATTCTGGAACAGAATGAAAGCAAGACCTTTTGAAACAGCAAAAACTAGCTGTTCACTAACAAAAAAGAATCTGGGTACAGTTCTACCACCTCACTCACTAGAAAGCTCATACTCTTACCAAGCTGAGATTTCTTCCCAGAAGGGAAAGTCTGAAATACATTCATGTAGCAGAGATTCAGTTTCTCTCAAAGATCAAAACTTCCTTTATCATCTTATAGAAAATACTGCACAGAAGTAGCCAAAGGCAGCAGATTGCTTGCACCTTAATACCGTTTTTTGCAATAACTACAAAAGTGAAGGGAATGCACTGGAAAAAATTCTAATATTTGTTTCTAGGAATACAGAAGTTAGAATAATACTGAAGCTTAAGGTTCATTAACTCTCTTCTCTCAGGAAAAAAGAAAAAACAAGTCAATTAATATTCAAAGGAGAAACAAAACTGTGATTACCTCAAAACATATGATTTACAGTATTTACTCTGGATGGGGAGTGGATGATACATCACTCTGTTAAAATTAAAATGGCAAATATGCATCAATAATGTATAGCTAAGAAAATTGATGGCCTTAACTGAGGAACATAGGCATAAATTCAAATGATTATATTCAGTGCCAATTGAGACTTTTTCATGCACGACTTCTTGAACCCATCCCCATGGTGTTTTTGAGAGTGTGTAAAATCTGAGCATTCCTATTTTGACTACTTTACTCTGAGCCCAAGGGCAGGACAAATTCTAGAGGGGTTTCAAACTAGGTGGCAGTCTGTACTCGTAGGTGGGTATTTATTCTACTGCATTGACGAAATAAAAAAAACTAGGATTTTTCAAAGATGCAATTTTAAGTTGTGTTATTTTATTTTATGTGATGATATTTGTTGTTTTATAATTTTTATGTGATATTGTTTTATACTCATGTATAGTTTATGTTATATACTGCACCACAGTGTCTTATAAGCCGCCCTGAATCCCTTTTGGGAGATGGTGGGTGGCAGGATATAAATGATGATGATGATTAGTATTATTAGGATGCAATGTTGGTCCCATCATTCTTTTTATATGGAAACTACTATGTCACCTTATGATCATTTTCTGGGCTGATAGGAACCATGGCATGCTCTATTACAGAACTGAATATCCCCCACATATACTATATATACCCCAGAATTATATAATGTCATTAGGAATTTACAGTCAGCCTTCCACATTTGCAGATCACACATTTACAGATATGATTATTCATGGATTTTCTTAATGTGTTGTCTCTAAGAATTTCTAGTTCCAACAGAAGTCGACCATACAATGATGATGGAGGCCCTAGAGAGAACATTTCTCTAGAAATCTGTAGGCCTTCCAGCATGATCCTATGACTAATCTCTGGCAGAGGTTAACCACTGAGTCATACCGGAGAGCCTAGAGATTCGAAAGAGATATTTATTCAGGTAAAAAAGTGTGGCTATTTATTTGCATGGTTTCCACTTTCACAATGGTCCTGTACCAAGGCAACTCTATCCCAGCAAATGTGGAAGGATAACTATACATTTAACTTTCATAGGTGGAGCAAAAGAAAAACCAACTTGATCTGTAGTCTCTTACAAAACTGGGGTGCATGGGAATCTATATCTATAAATGCTCTTCATAGCACAGAAAACATAACAGTAATTTGCATTCTTCTTTAAAATCTAGATTTTTTATTGATTAACTTCACTGAAGGCAGAGAAAATACCCCAGCCGTAGTGGCTTGATATACAAACTCAAAAACTTCTCTACCATGACAACTTGCAAGAGGAAATGCAACATCCAATGGAAGTTAATGGAAACATGCTTATTGTACGTGCTTATTTTGGAATGTGTTCACAGTTATTTTGACAAAAGATCACTTTTAAATATAGTTATTTCAATGCATGAAATTTACCTGTCATGTTCAGAAGAAAAGCAAGAATTTCCAGAAATAGTGATGTTTTTGCAGGTTGGGTTTCACCAACAAAGGAATAAAACATACCACAGAATATTCTTAAGCATAGCGTTATTAAAACTTCTCTTATAGTCACATTAAGCTGAGAGAGTTAGGTATTTCTGATTACTTCCACCATTCTACTAAATATCATTGGACATGTTTATGCCTTAGAATAAAATCAATTCTGTACTGCATTAATGGCCTTGTTTTATTCCATATCGCCTTAGTGACAAATTATGCTTTTTCATAAAAAAAAAAGGTTGCTAGGGTCTAGAGGATAATTATCTGACTATAAAGCTCCTGCTCAAAGTTATATATGTCTCTAGTCCAAACTATAGCATCACAACAGCTCTGCGTGTTAGCTATGCACTGAATACGTTGGTGTATAATTCGAATGGAGTCTTCCCCAAATGCTACGTTTCATATGTACTTGAAACATATTTTGTGATAACCCCAAACGGATTACCAAATTATTGACTATTCAATAAAATAGCATGCAATCAAGAATAAATCTCTCCAGTGTTCCAATCTCATTATTTTATTTGATTGAAAACAGAAGAACAATTTAACAAGACATATGAGGTTTTTCCATTCTCCAGCAAACCTAAGCACAAATATAAAGAAAAGCCAGACAGCTCCTATGGTACATAGCCCACTTCCACATGCCTCCTGCACTGGCATCTAACTGAAGCCACCAGTGCTGTTGGTACTTTTCATACTGGCTTCATGCCAACTGGCCCCAGACATCTTTGCCTTGAAAGCAGATTAATAATAGTATATGTGAGGAGAAATGGCCAAGTGAACAGCCATTAAACAAGCATGCAAGTGTTCCTTATTACTTCTAGGTTTCTCAGTGAGCAAGAGTACTACATATAGATAGCACTAAATCAGTGATTCCCAACCTTTGGTTTTCCAGGTATTTCCCAGAACTCCCAGAAATCCCAGTCAGTTTACCAGTTATTAGGAATTGTGGGAGCTGAAATCCAAAACACTTGGAGGACCAAAGTTTGGGCTCACTGCACTAAGGCCCCATCTACAGTACCATATAATCTAGTTTCTGAATGCAAATTAACTGCATTGAACTGGATTATATCACAGTGTAATTGGAGCCTTAATGAGTCAACCCCTACTGTTCCCTCATAATGGAAGAAGTTGGATGCCTGATCCTTGCTGGCACAAAATTGGCTAAAACGTCACAGTGCTAATGCCAGAACTTCTAAACTAATGGTGGTTGTCCTTCCATTAGGGGAGTCATTGTAGCAGATCAAGACAAGGGAGAGGATATGGGTGATAAGCATTGGATTGCCCCAATCAGATTAAACAAAAAGAATGATGACAGAGTGTTGGTCCTTAGAATATACCTTGCATGAACCTAATTCTGTACTCTTAGGATCAACCTACATGGACCACAAACAGTGATGCTGATCCAGAGTGAGATACTCTGGAACAGCATTATCATGGTCTACTTGACCAGCCACCGAGCAGCCTCTACAACTAACTGAACCATAATTGCTTTTTAATAATAAAGACAGCAAAAATACATCAGAAGTTTAGAAGATCTCAAAAAAGGCAGAGGTCTCTTGCTATAAATATGTGTCCCCCACTGAAGACACACATATTTCTGAGTAAGACTTGGATGACAGTCAGTGTATTCAGGATTCACTGCTCCCCCACTGCCACTAAACAGCATATTTCAAAATCAGCTCCACTGGCACAGTAATATTATCAACTAAAATGTAAATAAAGTTTAATCAACTCAGAAAGTAGAGGCTGCAATTAAAAAGGGGACATGGCAGATGTTCTGTGTTGATCGTTAAGTGCCTTGCACCCTCACAGCAGCATGACTCAATAAGCGAGGGATCAACTGGAAACCTGGTTATTGAACAGAATCTCTGTGTTTGCTGCCCAACTATTCACGCTTGCAATGGGTAGGAAACAATAAAAGAAACCACAGAGCTTTGCTCTATATGTTGTTTATTGCAAGGATCAACAACACATACCCTGAAGACCTAATACAGCTTTTTGCCCATTATGGGCCCACCAACATTTGATAGCAAAATGACACAAAAATATTGCTTGACGTGGTAAAAGAAAATCCGTAGTCTCAAAAATGGGATTTTCTTTTGGAAAATAACATGTGGTCCTTGTTTGTCACGTCTGGTGGCAGGGGAGTTCATTGGGGGAAAAATTAAAAACCACAATTTTCTGCACTACCTTGGGTGGCAAAGTCCAGTAAGAGACAGTGCAGTGTGTGGTAGCTTCCCTGGGTCTCCCAAAGTTTCCCATCCCTGGTTTATTGTGTCTGATTAAGTCTGGATAGTACAATAAACAAATCAGAGAGGTTTGTAGGCTGTGTAGCTGCTCTGACTTGCAAGTGGAAATTGTTAGGCCACATGCTCTTCTTGCCGTCTGATGGCATGAAGCCAGGTTCATGCAGATTCCTTGGTTTTTCATATTGCTGGATTGTGGCCACAAGTTTCTTTGGAAAAGCAGCTCTCTTTGTCATCCCACAAAATATGATCAGTGAACTAAAGGGTCATAGCAATCTATTTTCTTCTTCTTTTTTGTCATGTCAGGAGCGACTTGAGAAACTGCAAGTCGCTTCTGGTGTGAGAGAATTGGCCATCTACAAGGACGTTGTCCAGGGGACGCCCAGATGTTTTAATGTTTTATCATCCTTGCAATCTATGATGCCATATGAAGACTGCAGAGTGAAGGGAAAAAAAACAGATCCAAACAGAGAAATCCCAGTACATGTCTCTGGATCTTAGCCCTGCATCTGTGTGAATTATTCTCCAAGTCCTACTGGTAATAAATATGCTCTTATTTTCTAACACTGGTTTCAGTGTGTATAAATGTGTATTAAAAAAAGCTGGCTTTCAGTGTTTTGTGCAACATTTTCCTTTTAAATAGACATTCTATGATCTACTGTCTTTTTTTTAACCTATGGAAAATGTACCAAAAAAATCCTTGTATTCCCTGTATTGCAGGAGTAATAATATTCATTTGATAAAACCTTGCAGACGTGAAAAAGGAAAGGCTGGTTGAAAAGACTTACCTGCATACTGTGACAATGAAAGCAAACCCCATAGAGTATAAAACTTGAGTTCTATATTTTGCCTGGTTTTGTGGTTTATGACTGACTAAAGAAGAAATATATTTAATGATATTGTTATAGACTGGAAAAACTAGCTAAAAGTCTGGGAATCTTGGCTAAATGATAAGTGAGAAAGACAACTTTTTTAAAAAAAATGGCATGTATAATGAACAGTACATCACTTTAAAAAATAATTTTACTTACAGAACTATCTACTTCAGAGATAAGAAACCTCAGTGACTTTAATTTGCCTTATTTTAATCAGGGTCTGCACAGTATACAGGATGACATGCTACGAAGCAGGCATCCTGGAAGCAATACAAATCCATATATATTGTACTTTCCCTTTTTATTTTTCTGAAAGACCATCAGGGTTTTCTTTAGAACTCCGCTTCTCAAATGATGAACAAAATGACTGCTGAGTCAGACCCACTGAGTGACAGACAGTTCATTTTATCCCCCCACCTCCCCACATACGGCAGGCACTGGGCCCTCTGTACATTGAAGCCGTCCCTGTGATGCTCTGTTTGCAGTGTGCCATCATCACATTGCATATTTGGTGCATTGCAGCATACCTTGCTGCGGCGCTGGAAACCACAGTGGCTTTTTTTTCCTCCACATTAGCTCTTAACAGCAAAAATGTGCTAGGCAGTAGTTTCTCTGTACTGCTGACCCTCTGTGACAGCATGGTAGACGACATGAATATGCCTCAGAAGGTGTTATTCATAATAAAGGCAATCTTTTAAAACACACACACATGGCTTAATATGATCGCTCTGAAAATGGCATGGAGTGTATAGGCTGCAGCCAGCACTGTCAGATCTCCACTAAGCGCTCATTAATCTGGATAATAATGCTCAAGATTATTTACGAGGATATGGAGTATCAAGATCAATTAACACTTTAAATGTATGAAGGCACTGGAAAAACAGCCCTCGCACATGCACCCACACACCCCATGCTTAGCATACTTTTTCTTTATCTTCTGCTCGCTGAAGGGCTTCTTTTTCTATCTGAAACTTTTCTTTTTCCTCCTCCTCTTCCTTTCTTCTGGCGGCAATAACAGCTTCCAGTTGGGCAGCTTCTTCCTGCTGCAAACGCCATTGTAAAACCTACACAATGATATAGATACTTCTTTCAGCACTGTGTGAAAAAAGACACACCCTGAGCTTTAGTTTTTCACAAGGAAAAAAATAGCTGAGGAAGCAAAAGTGTGATGTCTAGATTACAAAATGGTGAAGAAGATGAGTATGGTCAACATTTGTTTAGGTGATTGGTAACCCACCTTTTGATCCAGAAGAATCCGAAAGGTGGATGATTTAAAATAACAGCCTAACAGATAGGTGATTCCTTCTCTCTCCCAACACTAGACATGCAGTTGGTCTACCTCTCCTTCTCTGGGATTGCTCGTCTTTTTACTGTGTATGATAATGGCTTGCTATGAGTGAGATGTTGCCCACATGGGGTCTGGAAGCAAAGCTGTCCCCAGCCCACAGACATATCTCCACCCCTGCATTCTTGCCTCTCAGTTAGATCATGCTTTGCTAACACTGGGTACAACCTGTTTGGGTAAACATATATTTGATGCGTACCAGCTCCTTGTTGCAACTTTTACTGTCAGATGTGTAGAGTGTCATTTCACTTATCCGACTCATACTTGGATAGGGGAGAGAAATGGAAGAAAAGAAGTTCTGTGTACCACAATTCTGGAAGGAAAGTCCTATGAGGAGCAGCTTAAGGAGAAGTGTATGTTTAGCTTGCAGAAAAGAAGGTTGAGAGGGGACATGGCAACCATGTTTAATATTTGAGAAGATGTCATACTGAGGAAGGAGCCAGTTCGTTTTCTGCTCTTCTTGAGATTAGGATACAGAGCAACAGATACAAACTGCAGGGAACGTTAGGAAGAACTTCCTGGTGGTGAAAGGTGAGTGATAGAATGGTAGAGTATCCTTCTCTGCAGGTTTTAAAACAAAGGTTGAATAATCATCTGTTGTGCTTTGATTGCATATTCCTGCATGGTGGAATGAAGTTGGCCTGGATGGTCCTTGGGATCTCTTCCAACTCTATGATTCTATGAAATACAAAACATGTAAATATTGAACCCTTAACTAACAAGGGTTCAGAGGTAATGTAGTTATTCATGTCCTTCTCATTCACACTATATTGCTACCCTACTACTATTTGTTACTAGGCACAATTAATATAGAAAACTTCATTTCATAACAGTAGCATTTTATGCTTTTTTTAACCAAAAAGGGTGTGCAGCTATTAAATTATAGTGCAAGTGAGTGAAGAGACAGAACTGAAAGGGAATGTGGCAAAATTATAAGTTATTGTTTGTACAGTGCAAAAGACACATGGAAAGGGAAGCCTGGAGTCTTCCCATGCTAGCTAGACTGTTTACATTGGGGCAACTGCCTTCCTTCACTGGCTACAGTGCATGCATATAATCTGTCAGCAATACATTGGGGCAATGAATCAAGGCTGCAATGCATTTCATGAGGAAAAGAAAATACCAATTTGAAGGCCAAAAGAGAAGATGCGACTATTTTGCAGTGGCCACTATTATGCGGTAAAATACAGTACTTTTCACTGCTGCTATTTTGGCATTTCTAATCCCTTTGGTCCTAACTGATTACTCTCTCAGACCTGCAGGAGTCCATTTTGATGCTAAACTCTATCTCTTGCCACTTGGGATAAAGTCAAAGGCATGTCATAACTACATACATGTGAACCTGTTTATCCTTGATAGGATTTCCATGTTACCTCTCAAAGACAGTTTGCTTAGAGCCATGGGTAAGAGAATGATCCATGTCTGCAACTTTCCCATTTCACTTCCCAAACCTCCCTATTCCATCCAGTTGAAGAAACACACACACATCCAATGTGTTAAAGACCATGAATATTGACATACCCTCGAACATTTCACAATTGAAAATTAGGTATGGTCAAGCAAGGGAAGGCTGAGCAAAGGAAGATAGATGCTTTTGAACTGTGGTGTTGGAGGAAAGTTCTGAGAGTGCCTTGGACCGCAAGAAGATCCAACCAGTCCATACTTCAGAAAATAAAGCCTGACTGCTCTTTGGACGGAAGGATATTAGAGACCAAGATGAAGTATTTTGGCCACATAATGAGAAGACAGGAAAGCTTAGAGAAGACAATTATGCTGGGGAAAATGGAAGGAAAAAGGAAGAGGGACTGACCAAAGACAAGATGGATGGATGGTATCCTTGAAGTGACCAGCTTGACCTTGAAGGAGCTGGGGGTGGTGATGGCCGACAAGGAGCTCTGGCGTGGGTTGGTCCATGGGGTCACAAAGAGTCGGAAGAGACCGAATGAATTAACAACACCAACAACATGGCCAAGCAACATCAGAATGTGATCAAGATAGCAAAGGTTCCTCACCCTGGCACTGTCTCCATATGTTGAGTGACACACTCATGAACCCTAGCTATTAGTCACTGGTCCACTAGTCCACTGGAAATGATAGGCAATGAAGTCCAGCGTACTTCAGGAAACACTGTGGTGGGGCATTAAGATAGGCTTTGGCAGGGAAAATATATCTGGGCAGCAGCAGCTTTTGTTAAAATGCACAGAAGAGTTCTTCCACCCACCCCGCTGCACACAGTGCTTTAATTCTGACATGTAAACAAGCCCTGAGAGTGAAAACCACAAGCCTCCTCAGCAAACATAACTTGCCCGTTTAATCAATAAAACTATATTTAATTACAAGCATGAAGTCATTTAATCCTCTGATTTATTCAGTAGAGTTTATACTCTAGCCAATATCACACTATTTAAGAATAAAGTGTCAATTGGAAATCTAAACAGGCGCACAGACAATATGAATCTTTCTTTGTGCTTATTTACAGTTTATGGCTCTGAGTAAATAATACGGAAAATGAGCTGAAGGTCATCAGCGAGGTCCTTCATGTGGAACCACCTCTCTACTAACTTTCAAGTCTCAGAGGCAAGCTGCCAGAAACTACCCACCGGGATTTTACAAACTATGATTCTGAACTAGGAATCATAATGATTCAAACATGCTAACATCAGACAGGCGCCCTCCCTTCTGTCTTTCCGTAAGAGCCTGAAGACCTGGCTATTTGAGAAGGCATTCAACTGAGCGCTACGGCAACTGGTAATTGACAACTGGAACGGAATACGGATTACGATATTGGTTATGATTCTATGATGTGACAGAGCGGATTATTTAGTGTAACTAGATTATAGTGTATTATTGTTGTATTGATTTCCTGTTTTGCCCTTTTGTAAACTGTTTTTATATGTTGTGCACCGCCGCGAGTCGCCCTAGGGCTGAGAGCGGCGGTCAATAAATGCAGTAAATAAATAAATAAATAAATAAGAAGCTTCCTGCCTGCCTGCAAGAACTTCTCTGAGCACATCCAAAATCAGGGTAATATTTCCACTGACTAAGCACAACGTCTGTGTGCCCAGGGAGTTTATGCATATAATATAGTTCATATCATGCTCTTGAAGTTGGGTTTAGATTGTTGGAAAAGATTAATTCATATGTTATCATCACGTACCATGTTGAATGCATTTTGAAATGCATTCAACATGGTAAACCTTTTCAATCACACTTGACTAAGGTCTTCTTGCATTTCTTTCCACCGAAGCATTATACTGCAATCTTACTGGGTATCCCAATTAAAACAAACCTAATGAATCTAGCATTGAACGGTGTGTTCACACATACACTCAGCGCTCGATATCCATAGATTCTAAATCCATTGATTCAACTTATCCCGGATTGAAAATATTCTACAAATAAAATTCCAAAATTCAAAACCTGATTTGACTATTTTATATAAGAGATGCCATTGTATATAATGACGCTTGGACATCCAGGATTTTGGTATACATGGGAGGTCCTGGGACCAAACTCCTGTGTTTATGCCTCATTGATACAATGGGTTTACTCCAGTTGGGATTAATAATTGGATGCATGACATATATTTCAATCAAAGGTCACTATAAATTACTTTTTACATGTATCTGCTTATACACACACACATACACACACATAACACCTTTACAGCTGTCTATACACAATACATCTAAAAAATCTGTAACACTCAGCTGGTGTATATAAAGCTATAACAACAGGCTACACAGTGGTTTTTTAAATCTACTATTTCTTAAACAATTTTAGCAGCAATAAGAATTCCATATAATTAGTAAACTATCCCCCTCCCCAAACTCCTAAATCTATTCTAGATAATTTCTGATTCTAAAATCAGAAAGTATTATTTGTCTCATTTGATTATACACTGCATGCTAATAATTCACCAGCAAAACAGATTACTGACAGTCTTGCCTGCCAATCACAAACAAATCCCAGAGGCAAAAAGGAAGTGAGAAATGCTACAAGTCTGATTTCCATTACAATACAGACATTGCAATGGAATTGACAATATAGGCAGTGAAATTGCTACTAAGGATCAATATTCTTTGAAGCTGTTTATAAAAATATCATCTCCCTCCCACCCTGACCCACCTGTAACAGCCGCAATATACAGTTAAAGCCAAGATCAATGCTAAAGAATAGTGCAATATTCGGTGGTAACTTTTTTGAAATGTCAAAGAAGAAAATTGCAAACAAATATGTATACATCAGATCACACAGCTGGATCTACAACCCAGTTCAATCAATGGGACATGTTGTACACTGGCATGAATTTTTTTATTCAGAACTACATATGTCCCACTGTGTTCAGTGCTGCGTACTCCCCAGAGCGTACACAGAGGTAATCAGCTTGAAAGCCTATGTACACTGATCAGAAGAGCTGATTCAGAATGATTTTCAAGAAAACATGCTTAGAAACAAAGTACAAATCAGCTTATAGGCATTATGAACAAGACTGCAATGGTGATGAGGTTGTCTCGATAATGCACCAGGAAAGATATCATATCCAAGTGCATCATACAAAACAGGCTTGAACACGTTAATAATATACATCCAGCATACTATGGAGCCTAGATGTCTGAGTGTGCCTCATAAAGACTGCCACCTTACATTTATTATTTCCAAGATTTATGTGGATAAGATACCTTGTGTGTTAGACTCAAGAAATCAATAGGAAAAAAC